AATCTCGACCCGGGCCCCGCCTACGCGCCCAAGTTCCGTTAGCAGGTTCGGTTGCTCCAGAATGCCTTTTTGCTCCAAGGGGCGGGACCGACGGGATGGGCCCTGTGACTGGCTCCTCCCCCTGCACGCAGCAGCCACTGTCCCGCGGGGCGGGCGGGCGGGCGGGCGGGAGGCGGGGAGGGGGAGAGGGAGAGAGAGAAATTGGCCATTCAAAGCCTTCTCTGAGCTAGAGGCCGGTTCTAAACTCCAATGAATTCAATTAACTTGATTGCTAACGTGTGCAGAGAAATGCAAGACACATAGGGGGCCACCACCTGATTCCCTACTCTCCTCTGGCGGCGGCGGTGGGAGCCCTCGCCTCTTGCATTTCCCTGAACTCCCGCGTTACAAGTTCCCTCCAAGCGATAAAACTCCCTGTTGCGCTTAAGTAATTTGTTTTAAAGCCAAATGGTGCCCTTCAGCTAAGTAACCGACCCGAGGAGGAACAGTTGGGAGGGGTGTGTGCACGTGTGTGTGTGTGTGTGTAAGTGTGCATGTGTGTGTGTACCTGAAGCCTTCGACAGCCGGCTGGGACTCTAAAAAGACCGCGCTGGTCCACCACTTGTTAACCCTTTCTTCCCGCCAACTCAAAAGTTTCTGAGCTGACGTCAAGTGTCAAAGCCTTTCTCATAAAGAGGTTTCTGCCGTGGGTGGGCGGAAAAAATAGAAAAATAATTATATGTATATTTTTGCTCAACCTGGTCCCCTAACGTAAAAGTACTCAAACAGCGCGCATTAAAAATACAATAATAAAAATTGTGTTCTGGATGACTTGTATTTAGCCATCTCGAAGGAAATGGCTTAAATGGCTTTTGGTTCTTGCAAGCCTTCTGCAAAGTTAACGAGTAAAAATATGTCTTGCGTGGAGATGGCCTGTCCTCGTCGTTTTCACAATGCCCCAAGGCTGGGTAGAGTTCGTTTTTTGGTTACTCCTCCCCCCCCCACCCCGCCCCCTTTCTTTCCCTTGGTCCTTGCCAACAAGCCTGCTGATGACTTAAAATGGACAGTAGGTGGCACTGTTTAGGAAAAAATGAGAGTGAGTTTACAAATTAACCAACTTGGTCTTCGGAGATTGCACTGAAACTGTTACAGGATAAAACAGGTTTTTCTTTCTTTCCTTCTTCCCCTTCCAAGGATCTTCCGAGGGTTGGACTTCTTTGGAACTCGACAGGACTTTGAAGACTGGGTTTTTAGTCCTTATCACATATATGGGCTATAATGAATAAGTCGAAACAGAAAAGTCGAATAAACTGGAAATGATGCTTTCAGCACGTCGCACAAGGTGTAGTGTTGGGGCATGTGATTAGAGGTCAAGCATTTTACTGCAATACCAGGTAGTCAGCCATCCCAGTCCCCAGGGGCTGACCTGCAAAGTACTGCGCGTTTCCGCCCCCCTTCCCACCCCCACACACAGCGGTTACACCTCTGGGAAGCATTACCTTGGCCTGATGACTTCACGCTGCTCAGGGGAACCCACTGATTTCCCCCAGCAAACCTTCACGCTTCAGCCTTTGTTTAAACTCTGCCTTAGGTGGTTCAACGCTTCGAGAGACTGGCTTAAATTTCAGAGCACAATTTCATCCCACTTCATCAGACTCGAGCTTCCTGATTCAGTTTGTCGGTAGTTTTCAAATGCTAAATTATAATTTTAAATATATCACCTAACTTCTGTACTCTGACGTATAACGCGGATTAAACTGATTTAGAGGTAGAGTGGAAATTGTGGGGTGCCAAGTGTCTAGCTGTGAGACCCCAGGGGGACACTTAACCTTCCAGCTCTAAACTTTCATGAATATGATACATAATGCGGGAATACCTATTATTGCTTACTAGCATTTAACTGTGCCTGTGCTAATAGTTCAAGCAAGAAGCACATTTGGTAAAACTGGGTTTCTTTATTATAGAAAAACACATTTGTTGTTTCTCGCCTCTTAAAACAAAAGTAAAATGTTCTCTGACTGCAAATGGATGTAAAAGCTGATTATACAGTGACGCATTTCTGTGGTCCTCCCATCTCCACCCCAAAGAAAGAGGTAAGAGACTAATACAATGTGAAGCCAGAGGTGAAAGTTATTTGAAAGCAAACTTTCAAGTTTGAGAGAGACTTTACATTCAAATCCTATCTTTGATGTTTGCTGTTTGTGAGATCCTAGAAGCCTATTTCACCTCTCTGGATCTTCATTTCCTGGTTGATAAATGGAGAAAATAGCTACAAAGTGGTTTTGATGATATAATGTGTTAAATTATATTAAGAGCTTAGCTCAGTGCCTGCAACATTGTGGGTATTCAGACAAACATTAGTACTGCACTCTTTTCCTGGCCTTATATTCCTTAAATTATTCTTGGTGAGCATTAACCATGGTTTCATTCTAGGTTCCCTTATTTGACCTACTTCAGCTTTGTACTGTCCCCTCACTCTTTTATTTTTGTTTTTTATAGAGATGGAGTCTCACTATGTTGCCCAGACTCGTCTCGAACTCCTGGGCTCAAGCAGTTCTTCTTCTACCTGCCAAAGTGCTGGGATTATAGATGTGAGCTACTTTGCCTGACCTCTTCACTCTTTTAGATTGACTTAGTCAGTGCCCATGAATATATCCCAGACATTCCCATTTAATGCAACTTCTTTTCTGAGTCTCAGGCCAAACTATCGGTCATGGAGTACTGATTCACAAGCACCAAATTAAGAGACATAAGATCCAGTTTCACAAATAAGCTATGGCACCAACCAATTGAATAACATTGGATAATTCACCCTCAGCTTTCTATCTTACAGGAGCTGTTTGGATCAGAAGATGACATCCTTTCAGCCATCCCTTTCAGGTTTTGACATCCTAAAATATACCTTATGGAACACATACCTGTTATGCTTTTACCTGTACAAGGCAACAGAGAAAACATGGTAGTCTTTACTTGAGTAGATGTGACTTAGCAGTATATTGTTGCTGACCTCCATCCCACAGCACAAAACGTATGTTTATATATCTGAGAGACAAAGTATCCAGAACAAGGATTTAGTACCTTCGTAATCCTCTGTATATGTGGTTCTAGAACTTTTGGTAAAGAAACTCTTTATACTCTTAATAATTATTGAGAACCTCAAAAACAGTTTATATGTTATGTCTATCAATATTTACCACATTAGACTTTAAAGCTGACTTAAAAAGTTTTAAAATACTTAAGTCATTTAAAGTAATAATAAATGCAGTTACATACCAACTTAATAACATTTTGTGAAAATAGCTATTTTTCAAAACCAAAAGTGAGAAAAGTGTCATTATTTTCCATTTTTGTAAATCTCTTTGCTGTCTAGCTGATAGAAGACAGCTGGATTCTCCTATTTGCTTTTGCATTCAATTGTTGTTCTGATTGAAGTATAAGAAAAAAAATCTTGTGTCATACACATATATAATTGAAAAATGGAAGAGTATTTACATAGGCTTTTTAAAGTATTCCTCCTTTATACTACATCAAAACTTGGTAAGTTGCAATGTTGTGAATTGGCCCAGGGCTTGGTCCTCTGAAGATTTGCTGAAAATCACTGACATGAAGTAGATCAATAGGAGAAAAGGCATATACATTTATTTAATGTGTATACATACACAGGGGCTTTTAGAATGAAGACCCAAAGATACAGAAGAAATTGTCTGTTTTTATGCTTAAGTTTAACAAAGAATGGGCAGCCATGTAGAAATAGGACAAGACAAAAAGGGCATAATCTAATGCTAGCTGACTGAGTGAGGAAGCCCAGCAAGGCCTGTCAGTGTGTACTCAGTATGAGTGAATTTTGTGTACTCTAATAATACATTATCTGTTGTTCTGTCTTACACTGTAAATGCATCTTTTATAATCATTTATGAATTTGTAATATTATGTATTGATTATCTAAAAAATACAGGTCCAATGAGTTATTTTATTTTTATTTTTTTGAGACAAGAGTCTTACTCTGTTGCCCAGGCTGGAGTGCAGTGGTGCAATCTCTGCTCACTGCAAGCTCCACCTACTGGGTTCATGCCATTCTCCTGCCTCAGCTTCCCGACTAGCTGGGACTACAGGCGCTCACCACCACACCCGGCTAATATTTTTGTATTTTTAGTTGAGATGGGGTTTCACCGTGTTAGCCAGGATTGCCTCGATCTCCTAACCTCGTGTTCTGCCCGCCTCGGCCTCCCAAAGTGCTGGAATTACAGGCATGAGCCACTGTGCCCAGCCAGGTCCAATGAGTTATGCAGATTTTCTAAATGTTGACACATTTCATTTTTGATAACACAAAAGATCACAATCATTAATATTACCACCAATCCCATCCAGTGTCTTCAAATATTAAGAATCTGTCATGTCCGTGGTGGCAAATACAAGTTTCCCAAAATTCTAGTTTTCTCTTGAAAGCTCACATATTATCATTAGCAATAAATACTGTCAGTTGCTTGCATTGTAGTGACAGGTTCACTAAGTTCAATTAAAAAAAAAAGGTTTCCAAATGCCCATACTTGAATAATAGTAGTTTGTCTGTTAATTATTCTTTCAAGTAAAAGTTATGTTCCATGATAAAAGTGGCCAGCGAGGCTTGCAACTCAATCACATGAAAGCTTTTCCTCCAGATAACCAGGGTAGCTTGATGTGTCCTTTCTATTTCTTCACACAGAATGTTAAAAAGCCAAATACTGAAGGATTAAAATTTAATAAAATTAAAACTATTGGCTGGGCACAGTGGCTCACACCTGTAATCCCAGTATTTTGGGAGGCTGAGGTGGGCAGATCACCTGAGGTCGGGAGTTTGAGACCAGCCTGGCCAACATGGAGAAGCCCTGTCTCTACTGAAAATACCAAATTAGCTGGGCATGGTGGCGCATGCCTGTAATCCCAGCTATTCTAGAGGCTGAGGCAGGAGAATCGCTTGAACCTGGGAGGTGGAGGTTGCAGTGAGCTGAGATTGCACCACTGCACTCCAGCCTGGGCAACGAGAATGGAAATCTATCTCAAAAAAAAAAAAAAAAAAAAAAAAAAAAAAAAAAAAAGCAAAAAACAACTATTTAGTGCTTTATCAAGGATCTTCTTAAATGAAACTTGCTATTTATTTCCTAGTGAGGGCTTGGGGGTAAAGCATGTGAGAATGACTGCTGGTACAGTTTGCTCCTATATTTTCCAGCTAAGGCACTATCAGTTTTGCCCATCATTGCCTCTGCATCATCAGTATAAATGTCAACAAAGTGAAAGATGAAAATGCCTTAGAATTAATATTAAAATCACTTTGATGCCCTGAAAGGGCTTCAGGGTCCCCCAAATATCTACAAACCACATAGAAAATACTGGTTTGTATTAAGCATACCAAATGCAGTAGTGTACAAATCTTTTACTTTGAGAATATAGACAAACTTTTGCACATTGAGAAGATACCTAGCAATAAGAACAGGAAGATTGATAGCAACTCTGTTTCATGATGCATGGCTGTAGGAATTAGTAATGCTTAGTGTGACACAGAAGATTCAGAGGACGCAGGAGACACTGGGAAACTTATATGCCTTGGAAACACATACGAGCTTTAGCACATACCCTATGATCCCAAGACTGTCTGTATACCACTGGGGATTAAAACACATCGTATTTCAGTTCCACAAATGATGGAATTTCTTAAGAGTCTGCCTGTGTAAAGATGGGAAAGAATTAACCTGAAATTTAGTTTTTTATTTCCAGTTTGCGTGAGGCAAAGGAATTTCCAGCATCTCATAGAAATTGGACTACTTGCCTTTTAATGTTAATTCCAAGCCTGAACTCCCATGGCTCTATAATTAATGCAGAGAAAATGTTGAAGATGGTATGGCTGTGTTAATGATGGTCACTAGATTTTAAAATGTGAAGAGATGGAGATCTAAGCATTTATAAGACACTCAAGAAATTGGAATGAACAGATTGGAAGAGATTAAAATACTCATTGATTGATTGAAATAGGTAGAGGAAGATCATTTTATTTATCCTTGTAGTTTTTGAAGGTTTCACTATATCAGAGTAGTAATTTGTCAATCTTTGATCCTTTCAAATTAGACTCTGAATATTATTTGAGTTGTTTGTTTGTTTGTTTTCAATTTGAGATGAGTTTTACTCTTTTTGCCCAGGCTGGAGTGCAATGGCGCGATCTCGGCTCACGGCAACCTCTGCCTCCCAGGTGCAAGTGATTCTCCTGCCTCAGCCTCCCAAGTAGCTGGGATTACAGGCATGTGCCACCACACCTGGCTAATTTTGTATTTTTTAGTAGAGACAGGGTTTCTCCATG